GGTAGAGTTGTGTTGCTGTTAGCCAATCAGAGGAGAGACGTCCACATATCAGGAAATCAGACTCCAATTTCGTTCATCTGAATCTATCCTCTGATCTGGCAATTTTCATTGTCCTCAAGCAGGTGCACCTGAGCTTTGTTTCCCCAGAGTATGATTTAGGGCTGCATGGTGGTGCAGTGGTTAGCACTGTTGCCTCGCAGCACAAAGGTCGCAGGTTCGAAACTCGGCTGCGGCCTTTCTGCGTGGAGAAAGGCATGCCCTATAGGTTATAAACTGTAAGCTGCTTTGGATAAAAGCGTCTGATAAATAAATAAACATAAACATGAGTTACAAGCCATTGGTTCCAACTAGAGACCGCTGCAGATGCATTAACATATGAGTCAAGGACCTATTTAAGCAAACAGAAGCCTCATTTCTGTCACTGCTCCCCAGGACAGCTGTGGCTACACTGTAGCTCATCACCACCAGTGTGAATGGATGAATGGATGAATGATTAATGAATGATGTATTGTAAAGTGCCTTGTGAGGTTGTAGCACCCTGGTTTCCAGAGGTAAAAAGGGTTAGAAATGTCGTGGAAATAATTACACAATCACAGCGGTTTGATCCCCACACAATACAAAATAAACATAAATAAACATTTCCTTTGTAAAGTTTAAATTACTCATCAGAATACACTTCATCTGAAAAGGAGCATTTGAAAAGTTTCATCGACACATCTCACTCATGGAGTCACAACCCGTTTGAAGTGCCCCTCCACCCCAGTCCGGACGGAAGATCATCTGAGATCTTTGCACCCAGATGCAGGCCCACCCGTCGCATTACTATACGGCGCTCGTCTGGAGACACGGAGGAAAAGAATAAACGCGTGGGGGGGGTGTTCCAGAGAATGGTTTTACTGAAAGGACCTCCTCTTAAAAGCCCCCAAATCATTAACTTTAAGTTAGTAATCAAGTACATTTTATTATATAGCACTTATCACAGACACAGGGTCACAAAGTGCTTCATGTGGCAGTATGATGTCATTTAAGGACTAAAAATAGCAGCCCCAGTTATTTAAAACTGGATTGTGGTAGAGTAGATCCCCATATTGAGAAACCACTGATGTCGATTCTGTTATTAAATAATGTAATATAATGTTCACCAGCAGAGGGAGCGCGGTGTCCTGCCCATCCATAGCTGACAAGCCAGCAGAAGAAGACTTGTCGGTACGGGTGAGACGGGGTGCAGAACACAAACCAAGTACGCTCTGACTGATTCGTATTCCTGTGTTTGTGCAGAGAGAAAAAATGTGGCCCATCATTTCCTGTGGTGTAACATATTTTGACGAGTCAGCCAGGAGGTGGCACTAGTGAATCAACTCCCTCAACAACACCTTCCCTCCCAAGAGACGGACCTTTCAATAAAAGAAAATGGAAGTGATGCAGCTGGAGAGAGAGCCTCTCGTGGATGCTTGCAGGCAACTGAAATGTTCTGGCCTGGACAGCGGAGAGCCCTACAGTAAGACCAAGAAGACACTCATCATGTTGGCAGAAGATATGTTTGACGCAATAAAGAAGCATGAGGAAGAGGAATTTTATAAAGACATGGCCACATATATTCAGAGACTGGGTAAAGGAGAAATTCAATCAGGAAAAGAGTCCCAATCCAAAGAGTCTGCTCCAAAGACAGATTCGGAGGACACTTTTCACCTTACCTCCCCAGTATACACAACGGGATTCCCACCCACAACTCGACCAGAGTCGACACTAACTCTGCAGGAGGTAACATTGAGGCGGTAGTTTAAGATCTGTGGGTAAAATGGACAACCTGGGCAGAAGGATCATCTGTTTTACCTCAGTCTAATCTGCCAGATAGAGAATGGAAGGGAAGGGACTCTGAGATTGAAATAGTCGAGGCAATAGTCAGGGCAATTAGCGCAGGACTGCCACTTAGAGACAAGTTGGGGATAAAGGGGGGGGCTGACACAGCAAACTGCTTAAAAGGACACTACAGAGTAGACAACCCCACTGAGAATTACCATCAGCTCCTCAATATATCCCGAGGACCCAAAGAAACGCCCTAAATTTTGTATTTCGTGCCACTGAACTCAAAGAGAAAGTGTTATGGAAAGCAGCTAATGAGAAGACGGATGACCTGTACAGCAGAGCCACCATCCAGCGCAAGTTTCTTTGCTCCATTCAAACCGGGCCACTCAGCGACTGTATTAAGTACTAATCGTTGCCCTCCTAAGTGATACGACCAAAACCGATAAAGAACTAATTGAGAAAGTTAGTGAAGCTTCAAAGCTAGAAAATGAAACATTCGAGAAACGCAAAAGGTTCACAGCAGTCAAGATTCCCAAGGTGCAAGAGCTTCAAACAGAATGCCAGACCGCTCCCACACCTGTTCAGAGCCACTCCAAGTCCAGAAACCCCCGCTGCAGTGGCTGTGAAAGCAGTTAGAAGTAAAGAGACTAATTTAGACACACAGCAGATTATAGAAGAACTACGTAATGAAATGAAACAAATGTTCATGGCTGCTATGGAAACCAGTCCCCACGCCAGGGCACCAAAACCACAACAACAAGGCTGTAAGAGTGCAGAGAACAGGGGAAAGGACAAAACTGTATGGACTGTTTCCAATGTGGGCGAGAGGGCCACTACTCTCGGGGGTGCTGAGCGTCAAGACCATCTGCGGGAAATGGGGAGGGACTTCTGAGATGGGACCAGCAGCAGTCCAGAGTCAAGTGTCCCGCAATGAGCAGTCAAGCCTGCCATCGGCCTCTAATGAAACAGCAGCTGCCATTACTGAAGTTCGCTGTCTTTATGGGGCAGCAGTAGCTCAGGAGGTTGAGTGGGTTGTTCTAGCAATCAGAAGGTTGCAGGTTCGATCCCGGCTCCAGACAGAGAATTCTGCTGTTGTGTCCTTGGGCACTTAACCCACTTTGCCTGCTGATGGTGGTCGGAGGGACCGGTGGCGCCTGTACTCGGCAGCTGTGGCTACATTGTAGCTCATCATCATCAGTGTGTGAATGCACTTTGGAGTCCTCTGACTCTGAAAGGCGCTATACAAGTGCGGATCATTTATCATTATCATTTGCAGAACTCAAGATTAGTTAACCTGGTGGGCCACCGATGCACTGTGACCTGCCAAAGTGATGTGGGACTCAGGGGCAGAGTCCAGTATGGTAAATGAGAACTGGCGGCAAAATCACCTCCCCCACAGGCCTGTTTCACAACTGTTAGATAATGAGACTCTTCAGTGTTTGCTGCAAATGACACACCCATTCCCTACATCGGCTGGATCGAGGTTAGCTTCAGACTAGACAGCGGCGTGTCCCCGGCAAATGAGCTGCAAGTCCCAGTATTAGTATCCAGTGACCCGGCTGTGGC